AAGAGTCAAAAGATGGGTGCAACCCAAGTGTCCCCTGACTGATGGATGGTAAAACCAAGTGTGATAGATGCCAGCATCCTCGATATGTTCATGAAAGCTTTCCATTATCTCTCAAATTAGTTTTTCCATGAAATCAATTATTTGGCCTTTAAAAGGAAAGAAATTTCTGTACATATCACAAATTCCCCAAGTGTATAAATCTTGGGGAAATGCTACTTACTGAAATAAACTACTTATAAATATAATTCGACTTATATAAAGTAACTAGAGTTTCCAAGTTCATCAAGACAGAAAGTACAGTGGAGTGTGCCAAGAGCAAGGGGACAGGAAGAAAGGGAAAATTGCTGTTTAATGAGTATGGAGTTTCAGTTTTACACAAGTTCTGGAAAGTGGTTGCACAATATCGGCCATGAACTAAATTGCTATTGGACTGGACACCTAAAATGATTAAGATGGTGAATTTCATGCTATGCATATTTTATTATAACAATTTTTCAAAAGTTGTTGAATTTGATGGGAGCTACAATCTACATTTCTGTGAAATGACAAAGTGGTAATAATAGGAGAGCTTTCAGATTCCTACAGCTTTGGGAGAAAGTTTGTTCATTTGCTATGAACAAATTATTTCAAAGTTCCCAGAGATAAGACATATAAGCCAAATTACTTCAAACTTTTTTTAGATTGATGATATGGCATTCATGTAACTATTGGTTTGTTTGCCCAACAAAACATAGTTGGGTGCCTGTGAAGTAGGACTATGCCATGTAAAAACCTACAATATTGCCCGGCGCAGTGGCGCAGTGGTTAAGGTCCTCGCCTTGCACGCCCGGGATCCCGTATGGGCACTGGTTCTAATCCCGGCGTCCCCGCTTCCCATCCAGCTCCTTGCCTGTGGCCCGGGAAAGCAGTCGAGGACAGCCCAAGGCTTTGGGCCCCTGCACCCGCGTGGGAGACCCGGAAGAGGCTCCTGGCTTCGGATTGGCATAGTATCACCCATTGCGCTCACTTGGGGAGTGAATCATCGGACGGAAGATCTTCCTCTCTGCCTCTCCTCTCTGTATATCCGCCTTTCCAATAAAAAAATAATAAAAATAAATCTTTAAAAAAAACCTACAATATTGAAACTAGCTGGGTCTTTGTTTTCACATTACTTCATAGAGTTAGTTATATGTGAATACTGCAAAAATAACAACCACAACTACCACAAGAAAATTCCCTTGATACTTTTGTTATATACACTCTATTCTTTGGTTAACTTGATTTGATTCTTGACCTCAACCTTCTTCCTGCACCTCCTAAATGGTAAGCTTCTTGAGAAAAAGCCAATTTCATTCATCTTCTATTCTCTGCAATGCATTCTCTACAGTCTCCATGGTTAACAAAATGCCTTATACACAGATGCTCAATACAAATTTTATAAACTGTACTGAGATAACACTAGTTCCGTTTCTGAGACCAAAATAGTGTTTCAGAGTTTTGAAACCATCTCAACCACAAAAATTGTAAGATGATAAGCAAATATCTTTTATAGATCAGGAAAGATATTTTAAACTCCAGACATGATTCTTCTAGGTATATGGTATCAATGTGGTCTCTGTGAAAATTATTTTTCCATAGATCACTAATCCTATGGTGAGTGTAACATATGATACATGAAAATTATTTGCATGTACATCTTTGTGGTCTCAGCTAATGCTATTAATGAATACATTTAACCCAAGGCCTGTTGACTGACTTATATGGATATCATGTTCAGATCAGAAGTTGTACAACAGGTCTTAGAGGAATCTGTCATCCTCAGGTGGAGTTTCTGACTCCTGGCTCCAGCCTGGCCTACCTCTGGCTACCACAGGCATTTGCTAGATGAACCAGCAAAGACCTCTCTTTCTCTCTCTCTCTCTCCCTTTCAAATAAAATAAATAAAGCTTTAACAAAAATAGAAGATTAGTGGGAGGCAATAAAGAGGCAGTTGTTAGTGGATACAACAGTGGTTACCTTAAATGAGAGTGTCGTGCTACCTATTAAAAAATTTAGCTGGAGGCTTCCAGGTCAAAGTTGTGCATCTAAATCTAGCAATTTAATTAAATATATTGGTTCCTAACCATATCATGTTATTCATGCTTCATAATTACTTTCTGAAGGAGGCATTACTACCCATTTTACAAGCAGTGAAAGTATGGGCTAAAGAGGTGGGAGATAAAGAGGGGTGTATTCCCCAATGCTTCACAGCCTGCAAGGAGCATGTTCCTTCTACATACGAAATCACAATTTTAAGCATTACTGAGTTAGGAGACTTAAAAAGAACAAGCACACAACAGCAGCAAAAACCTCTGAGAGCACTCTGCGTTGATCAGAGTTGCTGTCTCTCTAAGACCCAGTAAGTCCCTAGCTTTGCTTTCCTGAACTTTGAGTTCCAGTTGCACCTCAAATCACAGAGTGTCCAGGTACTAAAGCCACGGGAGTCGCAGCAGGCAGTGCTGCTCAGGGTGGGTCTACTCATGCTGCTCTGACGTGCCTGGACGGGCTGCTGTTCACGTGAAACCATTCCGGGCTAGACTAAGGACATCTAGGTTTGCCGACGTAAGTCGTTTCTCCCTGATTAATGCAAGTCTAATGTCCAAGGTTACAAGCTCCTGAAAGTGGAATAGAGAAAGCGCTAATCAGCCTGTGCTTAACAAAATGCAAGTGGTTCTGCTTTCGACCACTGACTAGAAATGGAAGACTCCATACGACAACTGTCCTGTTACTCCAGACAATGCCACAGTTTCTTACATATAAGGCAGAGTAATAATCTTCTCATAGAAGTGCTGAGATGGGAGATCACGTGTGAAAAGAACCAGGTATATTAAAGAGCCTCAGAAAAAAGATAGTATGATTGTTATTATTACTGTTATAGTATAAGGATAAAATTACTGATGGACTAGTGACATCTCGCAACTGGTGAGTGTTTCGATTGGTTCTGTCCACCCTCTGCTTGACTCCAGCAAATGATGGAATTTTTTATCTGGGGCACTTTCTGTTGGCATCAGAGAAGGCCTTGTATGACCAAATGAGCTTCAATGTGTGTTGCAAGCGCTTCAGTCTGCGATAGTTACACTTGATGGCTGATATTTCCTGCTTTCAGAAGCTGTGAGCTGAACTTTCTAAGACAACCTATATCTCTGCTTCTTTCTTTTTATTGACATTCCACTTTTTCACTTATAGGTTTCAGGATTGCACCTGAACCATCAGGCACTTCTGGTTTTCATTTAATGAACTGTTCCTGAGAATTTGTACTTTCCTGTAATCATGTGCTTCCTTTATTTTTAGATTTAGTCCTTTCACTTGCTCCATTTGTTATTTGCCTCAGGACACATTTAATATTTTATTTACCCTCGCTTGTATTTAATTTTGTATTAAGGCTCAGAACAACAACAAAAAAGTCAAGAATAAACTCATGCCAGATAGTGCCACATTTGGGAGTTTAGGTCAATTGGTATAATTTGAGTTTTTACTGACTTTGGAGACACAATTATAAAGGCAGAGAGAGAATGAGAATAACATAGAAGTCAGTGGTTTCTGGCATTTAATACATCAAAGAGCTCCATTTTTTTTTGAGATTGGAAAGGATAAGAGAAAGAATGATTTATTAAAAAATATTTATTTATTTGAAGAGCAGGCTTGAGACATGGTGGAGAGACACAGTCGATGAGAGCAAGAATGAGAGAGATCTTCTACCTGCCGGCTCACTTTCTGAACAGCCACAACTTCCAGGGTTGGTCTGAAGCCTGGAGCCTGGAAGTCTATCTGGGTCTTCTGCACAGATGCAGGAATCCAAACACTTGAGTTATCCCTGCTGCTTTGCAGAGGCATTAACAGGGAGCTGGATGGGACTTGAACTGGTATCCATATGGAATACTAGTGTCACAGGCACTGACCCAACCCACTGTGCCACAATGCTGGCCCCTAGAATGCCCAGAATGTTTTTTTTTAATAGAATGTTTGAATTTTGCTTTTCAACCAAATGAAAATTCAAGAAATCAAGGATTCAAAATCAGTTGCTTTCACCTAATGATTATTTAAATTTACCTATAAGTTATAGAACAGAGGTTGAAACTGGCTACTAAAAAAACATTAAAATTAACAAATGAAAGCTCAGTGTTGTTTGCCTAACTGGGAAATAGGAGTTCATTTTTGCTTTAGATTTACTTATTTTTATTGTAAAGTCAGATTTACAGAGAGAAGAAAAGACAGAGAAAAAGATCCTCTATCTGCTGGCTTACTCTCCAAGTAGACCAAGCCAGGAGCCAGAAACTCCTTCTGGGTCTCCCACACAGGTACAGGGTCCCAAGGCCTTGGGCTGTCCTCTATTGCTCTCCCAGGCCTCAAACAGGGAGCTGGAAAGGAAGTGAGGCAACCCGGACATGAACTGGTGTCAAATGAGATCCTGGTGCATGCAAAGCAAGGACTTTAGCCACTAGCCTACCATGCTGGTCCTAGGAATTCTTTTATCTTATTGTACATAAGCACTTCTCAATTGTATTTAGTGTCCCTGTGAAGAAGAGGTCCCATTTTACAGATGAGAAAGTTAAGGCTCAGAGTACTAAAGACAAAAAAATAAATAAATAAAACCAAAAACCCTTCAGCCAAAGGTACTCCTTTTGTGATTGCCAGAGAGGAGCTAATGTTCTCCTCAATCTCCTCTGCAAAGGGCAGAGCTCAGCCACTCGACCACTCAGCCACTCCCCATCAGCATGATTTAAGGGATTCTCCTAATCCACCATGCTTCCATTTCCTCACCTGTAAAACATAGAATCTGGATCAGGAACCAGCAACTCTAAGACATCCCTTGCAGCTTTTACATTGCAGAAGCATAAGGAGTGTGTGAGCATGATTGTAAGGATTGGTTGCGTATGAGCCAATCAGATGTATCAAATAGACACCTCCCTACCAGGCCAAGAAAGGAAGGGGGAGGGCAAAAGTTAAAAAAAAAAAAAAATCTTTACTGTGAGCTATCTATAAAAACTGTGTGCTTCCAAAGATCCGTCATACTTGGCAGCAGCTGCCTCTCTCAAAGCTTCTCACAGTAACGAGGACTCCCTCTGCCCAACTGTAAGTAAAAGAACGCCCTTTGAATACCTGGACTGTACCAGAGCAGGGGTTAGTGATAGCACTAAGCCTGGAGAGGGAAAAGACTATTTGCCTTTGTTTTCAGGGAAAACAAATGTGATGGTGGCTGAAAATTCAGTGCATCTGCTGAAACTTTTTTTCTTCTTTCCTAAGTGTAAATGCTCAGGTTTCTTGGCTTTCTGAGTGGTGGGAAAGTGCTTAAGATTGATTAGCAGTTAGTTGTCTGTGTTACCTGCCCGAGGCACTTTTGGGTCTTTGGTCTCAAACAACTTGAACATACCTATTTGGTTAAGATCTGATCAAATGAGATCCCTGCTCATTTCTCTCTCTCTCTCTCTTTCTCCCTCTCCTTTTTTGTCTCTCCTTCTTCCTCTCTTTCTGCCTCTCCATCTGTTTCAAAATGTATTTATTCTCCCTCATTTGAAAGACAAAGAGATAGCCAGAGATCTCCCCTTCGCTAGCTCATTCATTACTGGCCACATCAACCAGGCTGGATCCTGGTGAAGCTAGGAACCTGGACTTAATCCAGATTTGCCAAGTACCAGGCAGAACCCAAATATTTGTTTATAATTCTTTTATTTTGATAGTCATATTTGAACTATCACCTGCTTCCTCCTAGGGTGCACTTTAGCAGGAAGGTGAATGGAAAGCATGGTTGGCACTCAAACCCAGGCATTCAGAAATCGAATGCAGGGGCAGCCAGCCTCCATTGGCATCTTGACCGATGCACCCCTGCTATCTCTTCTTATAATTTCAAATTTCAATGATTTATTCACAGATCTTTTGCTTCATGACATTTTCTGTATTCTCTTTTCACACCTGCTGGTATGAGTACTGAAGCTTTTTTTTTTTTTGTCACAAAAATGAATCCTTGAGTGTTACACCCCTGGCCTTCACCCACAGCTCAAATGGGGAAATGGACTAGACTAGGAAGCTTCACAGAGCATAGTTGCTATTTGATTATAAAGTTTTAAGCCTGTCACTTGTTTGGTGCCTTCTATAACATTTCTTACTGGCACTAGACACTGGGCAGATCCTATAGCTTAAGATATCAGAAAGCAAAAGCTGCTGACTTACACTGGACTAGTCCTTTACTATCTGGGAAACAGGCATATTACAGGAATATGTTGTCTTCCTTTAATATAAACTTCTCTTTAAATAGTTTCCTAGTGCTCCATAAGTCCCACTGGATGCAGTAAGAGCTTGAGTTCTGCTGGAAAGAAATTCCTACTCTAACCTAGGTGCATCTGGAGAACACCTAGACCCAAGTTAGTCTAATTGTGAAACAGGGAATAGAATGCAGTAGCCGAAAACTTGAGCTCCTTTGTCTTGGATTCCAGTTTAGAGAAAAGAACCATATTTCAGTCTCTTGCTGGGATGCTTCATGTGTACTCAAAGGCAGGAGGAATCAGCCTTCCCTGTGACAGTGTCACACATCACTGTCACATAGATATACTGTATTGCTCCATAAAGTGCCTGGCAGTCGTAGGCTACCAAATAACAAGCCTTATCAAACTTCTGGAAAATCCATCCACCTTATGCATGAAGAAGCAAGTGGTATCACTGGCGCCTTTTATTCCTCCAGGACTTAGATATCCATGTTTTATAAATTACTGGGTTTATTTTCAGAGCACCCCTTCAAGGAAGACAGAAAGGACCATGCTGTGAGCTCCGACTGCTGTTGTGTTGAAGACAAAATGGAAATAAGATTTTAAGTCAGATGTGACTTGCTGTCATAGAAGATTAAAATTAGAGGGGGCATAAGACATAGTCTTTCTGAAAACTCAATTTCCTCATCTCCAAAGTGATAGGTAGTGTTGGTGCATATACCACTGAGGACCTCTTGTAGCTCTGTTTGCTGTAGTTACCTTCTATTCGTATGAGTTAGTGTGTACAGCCTTACACTAGATTTGCATGTATATATTCATTTGCCAAGAAACCAAACATCATAAGAATGTATAAAGTGAAACATGAGTCTCGCCTATGTCCCATTCCCTGGCCATAACCTTTGGGCAGCTAACCTTTGCCTATAGAAAGTCACAAACAACATGCGTTTATACTATTTTTTAGATTTAAATATTAAATACTGCATACTTCTCTGAAGCTTGTTTTTCTCATTAAAATATAGTGTAAGCAACTTTCCATTAGACTTAAAAAATGTTGGCTCAAGACTTCGGTGCGGGGAGTCTTAGGGCAAAGAAATCGTTCTTTATCGTTATTCATTCCAAGCTCTTGTCTCCCCGAGGTGAACCTTGGCCTGTGACCCTGTTTTATAATTAACAAAGGCACAATGTTTGTGCTGATGTGGTACAGACCTTTAATCCTTCTGTAGAAGTTTAACTTCCAGCAAACAGCATTAGTTTGATTTGACTTTTCTGTTTTTCTCATTGAGTCAGCACACCCAGATTGAGAAAAATAACTTGGTAGTGAATAGAAGCATAGAGATACCTGGGTGATTATTATTTTTTTTAATTTAAAAATGCAGAAACAATAATATTTTGCATTTTCATAATACCCTATGAAGCATCTTCATGTTTATCATGCAGTTTAACAAATATATTTTGAGCAGTTACAAAGAACAGAGTGCACAGAGGTAGCATTCGAGTCATTTTGACACTAAGGCAACAAAGTAGATAGCCAGGAATTTCAAAATGTTTATTGGAAAATGGATTTGAAAAATAATTTTAGTATAAAAAAATGAAATGAAATCATGCATATTTTTTCATTTCATTTTTTCCATGACTTTTTGTAAACTCATCCTATGCATGTATTGCAAATTTATTGCATCAATACATTTACCTTTTAATTTTATAATCCTATGACACTTGTCAAAACATCTTCATATCATTGCCACTTAATTCACAGTAAACCCAAAGAAGTTACTAAAGTTGCTGAAAGTTACAGTCAGGGGAAGCAAACTTGCTCCTGCAACCAAGGTCTGTCTGATCTAGCAGCAACAAAACTCTTGGTTAATATTTCAAGTGTCTACAACTTGGTAATGTCAGCAGTGCAGTGACACGAAATCCAAGATCCTCTGTGTCATGGAGCACATTAGAAGTCACCCAGAGGCAGTTTGCTTGGACAAGCTTACTCCCTCCTTTGGATGGAGGGAAGTACTTCCCCTTATTGCAATTTTTGTGCATTTTATGCATCCTTCAGCAAATGATGTATTTTCTTGTATTGTTTTCTAAGTTGTTAAATGGGAGCCCAACTGCCTCCTGAAATTATTGTGGAGGAAAAATGTGTAATGGTGCATGTAAAGAAATTAGTAGAATGTTTGACATGAGCAAGCATTTGTTGTTAAGAAAATATTTTTATGTTTAGTAATTGTCTTTTTTCTTTTTTCTTTTTTTTGGTGCAAATACCTAAACAGAGGGTAAAAACTCTAACCTTAGTCTGAAGGTCATTACCCCACATGAAGATCTAGAGGCCAGTTTCAAGGCTAAAAATCTGTAATGATGATATTAAGTGCCAATATATAAATGGATCACTCAAAATCTGCCAGTGGCTCAGTAATGATAGGACTTTTAAAAATCATCTTCTCTAGAAACTGTTGTTTATTAGTTTGTCCTAGTATCCCAATGTAGTTCCATTCTTCTAGCTTAAGACAAGAACCTCTGTTGAAGTGGAAAATAGTAATGAGGTAGTTAAACTTTCTCATGAATTAGTTGGTGTAGCCATTGGTTGTTTTTATCAAGGGGCATGATACTGAGATCCTGCTGTGGTGCAGGACATATGAAAAAGTGAGTTTATTATGAAACAAAAGACTGGGTGGTAGCACATTATATGTAGGATCAATGGGATCATTTGGCATTTACCTTCATCCTTTGTGGCTAATTGTTAACTACTTCAATGAATGCAGAAAAAAAGAAATCTTACCCATTGATCTGTGGAAATGTATTGGAAGCGTCTGGGGCCTATATGCTGTGTCTACCCATCCCAACTTTCTTGATCATGAACTATCTGAATGACCTATTGTGTTTACTCGTTTCCAGACCTGTCACCATGGCCCACCGATTTCCAGCCCTCACCCCTGAACAGAAGAAGGAGCTCTCAGAAATTGCCCAGCGCATTGTTGCCAATGGGAAGGGCATCCTGGCTGCAGATGAATCTGTAGGTGAGTGTGAAAAATAAGCACGTTGTACAATGCACACCCTTTCTTCACTTACTGAAAACAACTTAGTGATCATATTCTCCCACTTCCCCAAATGGGAATAGAAGACTCAGCATTGACATTTAAACTACGTCTTGTAATGTAACTACATTTAAACTACATTCTGTAGTTCTAGGGGGCAGATTTCTGCCAACCAAGAAAAAGGATCAAATCTTCATTTAAAGCTATTTACCAGAGGTCTTTTGGGTCTGTCCTCTAGCAAAGCTAGGAACCAGGATGACATCAAACACACATCTGCTGCTAATGGAAAGTCTTTGTAAAGTCAGCCAAATCATGAATTGGAGAAGTATCTGCTGCTAGAATAGTACATGGTTTATGGCTAAGAGAATCCCATTGTGGTACAGGGAAAGCTGTGGCAGGCTTGTATGGTCTTCCATAAAATCAAAAAAGCCAGAGAAGTCAAAAACAAGACTTTGCCCACCTCATACAGCCTCTGATCACCATCCTGACAACAACAAGGTCTTCCCTGTTTTCGCTGAGAGATGAATAGTGAGGCAAGAATTGGCAAATTTGAGTAAATAAGGAGATGGTATGGGGAAGTATGATAGGAAATTCCTGGCCTATTTGTGACACAACCTGTGGCCCATCCTCCTTAGGCACCATGGGAAACCGCCTGCAGCGGATCAAGGTGGAGAACACTGAGGAGAACCGCCGGCAGTTCCGAGAGATCCTTTTCACTGTAGACAATTCCATCAACCAGAGCATTGGGGGTGTGATCCTTTTTCATGAGACCCTCTACCAAAAAGACAGCCAGGGAACGCTGTTCCGAAACATCCTCAAGGAAAAGGGGATCGTTGTGGGGATCAAGGTGAGCCCTCCTATTCATACCTCACCTTTGCTTTGGCGAATTCGAAGTGCACTGGCTAAGGCAGGGACAACATTCAACATATTCATCATCTAATTTCTCTCCCATATTCATCTTCCAACTGATAATCACATTCTCTTCTAGTCTTTTCTTCTAGGGTTTCCTTTTCAACAGTTTTCCCCAAGTTACTTGATATATCCTTATGCTAATTTCCACATTGTTTAAAATAAGATGAAATGAATTTTTTTTTTAAGTTTGTATCATATGATAATTGCTAATAGTCAATTTTATTATTATTACAATACTTGCTTTTTATGTTGTATTCCATCACTGCTCAAGAGTATTTGAGCAGAAAACCAGTAGCCTTCTCATAATCTTTGGAAGTAGTTATTACTCTTCTTTTAGAGATGGGTTGAGAAAACTGAACTACAAAGGAGGTTCCATGACTTGCTGCTCATCAGATCAGTTAGAACCGGCAGCGTAACAGGGGCTTATCACGTGGCTCTGCTGTGTTGAGAGTAGACTCTACATTCTTATCTTCATTACAACCGTAGTAACACAGTGCTAACAAGTACACGTGTTGAATAGATGTTAGGATTGACACTGTCTCACACATTGCTCCTTCCAGATCTTTTCCCTTCTGGTATGGCCTCCCTCCCTCCACTGCAACTTACATCCTTCCTCCCCACCCCCACTGCCAGCTAGCAAATCTCCCTAATTTGACTCCTTGGTTTGTGAAATATTAGAATTATTAGCATCAGGAGATCTGCTTGTGTACTGACATCTGGCACTTGCTAATTAGTTGTTAATTATTTGTATCCACAGTTGGACCAAGGAGCTGCTCCTCTTGCAGGGACAAACAAAGAAACTACCATTCAAGGTAAGGATTTCCTCTGAGGTGAATTCTGCCAAGATGAGGCTTCTTCCGAAAAATTGGAGGAAAATATAGTGAAAATGTTGCTTATATTTTGTTTCAAGAAATTTTGAAAATCAAGCAGTTTTTTCATAGTACACATTTATCATGAACTTTTTGAAGACTCTTCATTTTAGATGATGTACATAAAGTGCTTACCATAGAACCTTGTATAAAGAAGAAACTCAGCATCTGGAAATATACTTTTTAGAGAAAAATCAAGCAACAGTAGACAGGAAAGGCCTCATGCTTTGGGATCAGACATCTTGATGTGAAGCCTAATTTTATTTAATGCAGCAAATAATTTTGCCAGCTATGTCACTAAGCAGCTAGACAATTGCTAACCACAGCTTTGAAATAGGAAACAACAGTTTACTCCAGCTCTGTCATTCTTTGGCTGTCACTCAAAGTTGGTAAAGTCACGTAACACCTCAGAACCTCACTTTTCGCATGTATAAAATCAACATCACATCAGCCATTGGTCCCTCGTATTTTACTTATGGTATATCTTGTATGTATATCAAATCATGTTTATTAAATCTAGGTCTTTTGGTCAGTGTTGTGATTAATGCTTATGAGCCTGGGTATTTTCAGTACTCTAGATTTGTGCAATGAATGTCAGACCAAAAGAGAACTCCGCCAGTTTAGCAGAGGCCCCAAGGTTCAGGCGCAGGGTTGAAAAGCTTCTCTCTCTTTTGTGACTTACAGGGCTTGATGGGCTCTCCGAGCGCTGTGCTCAGTACAAGAAGGATGGTGTTGACTTTGGGAAGTGGCGTGCTGTCCTGAGGATTGCTGATCAGTGTCCATCCAGCCTGGCCATCCAGGAAAATGCCAACGCCCTGGCCCGTTACGCCAGCATCTGTCAGCAGGTGCTCTGTCTTCTCCTTTAATGAAAGACCAATAAATTAGAGCTGTCTTCAAAGCTTGCCTTCCTATGAGTCTTCCCCTTCCCACACCAGTACATCCTGGGGGCATTTTTGAAGACTTTTGTTATAGTTAAGTACGGTGGGGAAAGATTTGGTCCAACAAAGCCATTAGGACTCCATTAAGCTGAGAATTCTAAGATCAATGCAATCACCTCCTGACCTCTTACAAAGTTTTATAAGCCAAGACTTAAACATAATGAGGCTGATGAGGCCAGGCATTTGTTTGCTTATACCCTGTAACCCCATGATTCTCTCAGATATCTAGCCAGATATCTATCTGATCTGGCACCACTTGCATGATTTCTTGAGGATGGTACTTTGCTGCCAAACTTCTGCACCTGCAAATGTCGAAGTGTCTGAGTCCAATTTAAGTGTAATTTGTTTTGGTGGGTTCAATTTAGGGTAACCAAAATTGTGGGCACCTGAAAATTCCCAGTTAAAACTGTAAGCACTGCTTGAATTCCTTAATTAATCCATACTAAAGGCATTTTTTAAGTGATTGAAGTTTGATTGCCCTAAAAGGTAGCAGCTAGATTCTGAGATGGCTAGAATTATCACTAGTGTAAGATAATAATTTGAATATATTCTTTCACTGCATTTTTAAACTACTGTTCTTTTTGGCTAGACCACATTGCTCAGTGGACACTCCAATTTCTTTTCACCACCTTTAAGTTACTTATATACTATTTCTTCCTGAGGTTTCACTTTGATATAATTGCAACTGTTTGCATTTCATATTTTGAAAAGATTACAGCTTTGGAAAGAATATAGCTTCACTTTTCTCCCTTCTGTTACCCCTTTTCCTTTTTAGAATGGGTTGGTACCTATTGTTGAACCAGAGGTGATTCCTGATGGAGACCATGATCTAGAACACTGCCAGTATGTCACTGAGAAGGTAAATCCTCAATTCAAAAGTTCTATTCTGTTTTAAAGATCACGTGTTTATGTAGCAGCTGGTTTATTTGAAATAGCCTTTAGGACCACAAAGTAACATTGAGAGGAGGGTGCTTATCAATCCTTCACTGTCTGTGCCACTTCATATGCTTCCTGTGGAAGAAGCACAGGGGCCTCAGTAGCAAGACTTGGTGTGGAGAATTCACATTCCCTCTTACGATACTTAGGCAGGTCACATTTTCTCTTTTGGACCTCAATTCCATTACGTGTACAATAAGTAGCATTAGAATGTTCTGTGGGGCTTACATGTTAAAATATAATTAGTACATACTTTATTCACATTTGGCCATTTAAATTAGCCACAATATTTCTAAAATAGGCTGATCTCTCTGAAACACTGTGTAACATCAAGAGACTCATAAGTCTCCTGGCCTCAGTTTCTACACTTGCAAAATCATGTGGACTTAAATGAGATCTGAAAGCACATATGTTTCTAAAATGTGTGTTTTGTAAATAACTTTTATTTGGAAGGGAGGTGGGGGCCAGTTTTGATGTCCTCAATTAGCTAAACATGGGTGGGATCAATAGAAGATGACAATGACCAAGGGTGTGATGGGAACAAAAGAATGAACAAGATCTAGTGAGCAATGGTTCATGCAGTGAGTGGAGCAGTTAGACTAGCAGCATTACAGATAGGCAGCTTGGTCGTGTTCCATGGCTGTGGTTTGCATCTATGCAAAACCCTTGCGATATCTTGAGGCTGGTCCAGGAGCGTAAGTCTAGCTGTTTATGGGAACTCCTTCAGCATGCATTCCTGTAGTTGCATAATTTTTCAAGGTTAGATGATTCTAAGACTGACCCTGAGATTCTCCTAAATGAACTTCTTGTCCTTCAGGTTCTGGCTGCTGTTTACAAGGCCCTAAATGACCATCATGTTTACCTGGAGGGTACCCTGCTTAAACCAAACATGGTGACTGCTGGACATGCATGCACCAAGAAGTACACACCTGAACAAGTGGCTATGGCCACTGTCACAGCTCTCCACCGTACCGTGCCTGCAGCTGTTCCTGGTAGGAACTTCTTTCTTCTTAATTCAAAGTCTGAGCTCTCCTTCTTTTAAAGAATGCCACAGTATTTGTGTTCGCCTTGGCATCTCCTACTACTTGTACAACAGACCTCTGCATTTCATAGACAAGGGAGTTTCCTCCTACTCCACAATGCCAAATATCCCAAGTCTGTTCCAATGTACACAAAATACTGTTTTGTCAATATTCCATAGCCTTGTTTACTTATTAAAGTCCTCCTTTCCTTAGCCTAACCATCCTCAACAAAGCAAGGTGACTTCTCTAATCTAGTGCCGTGCAAAGCAAGCAAGGACAAGACTGAGCCATTGCCTCTCTTTTGGGTTCCTTGCTTGCTTTCTCAAGCAGTGTTCATAAGTTGGAACTAATACAATGGAATGGCTTCTCTCCTTCCAGGAATCTGCTTTTTGTCTGGTGGCATGAGTGAAGAGGATGCTACTCTCAACCTCAATGCTATCAACCTTTGCCATCTTCCAAAGCCCTGGAAACTCAGCTTCTCTTATGGACGGGCCCTACAGGCCAGTGCTCTTGCTGCCTGGGGTGGTAAGGCTGCAAACAAGAAAGCAACCCAGGAGGCTTTCATGAAGCGGGCTGTGGTAAGATTCTAATACTTCTTACCCACTTCATCAAATTGATACTTGGGCATGATTTTCTTTGGACCCTAAGGTGCCTACAAATAGCACATATTTGAAAATATAGCGTGAACACTCAGTAGAAGGTAAGAACTAAAGACAGTTTTGATAGTGGTAATACAGTTGAAACTTCAGAGGAAAAAAAGGGTGAGGTTTAAGCCTTGGGTATGTTTAGTTTTGAAAATATACAGAAACTCCCCCCTGCAAAAAGCAGCAATTATATGATAGGATGCCCCAAAGATTCTGGGAGCAAATGGAAACAGATTTCAAGGAGCTGTTGATAACATACTATAAAGAGATTCAAAACCAACACCAAGAAAACACAGTGGGAATGACTTAGGGGCATATCAAAGACCCTCATCAAAATGGATGGATTCAATAGAAAGAGAAGGAAGGTGTCCATTTAAGGACTCAGAAAGGTTACCAGAAGAAATGAGGACAAGAAGAAGACTTCTTCAAGTTACAACCATTAGCTTTGTAATACTTTGTCTGAGGGCAGGGTGACCAAATCAGAGCCAGTGCCCTCAGGGAGTTTAGCCAAATAGGACAGAGCTTGTTATGTTTAAAAACAAAATGAAGGGAGCCAGAAGAAAATCAAGATGATCAAGATATGGACAACAGAGGGAAGGGATAGTTAGGGTACATAGGATTGAATGGGACTAAATATTAAATAGGAGGTCTTAGACAAAAGGAGAGGAGGAAAGAAGAAAGAGAATGAGTTTAGAGGTATCTCTGTAGTGGTGAAGCGATGTAGCTGTTGGTCACTGATTATACTGGATGATATCTGCTGAGGATGATCAGGAAATGTCTGAATCCTGACAGAGGGGAAGGTCGGATGAGAGGTTGAAGGAATGTGCCAAGAAATTGACCATATGTTTTAGTGAGCTGTTGCAGTCTAGTATCAAGAATTGTGCAGCTGGAATGAGAGTTTGTAGCACACCAGGTTCGTTTCTGGGTTTTTCTAACAATTCTCTAAAGAACACAGGAAGAATAAGATAATTTTGAATAGGGAATAGCAGGCAGAGTAGAAGAATAAAGTTTTAATAAGACAGAAGGATGCCAACTTACCAGTTAGCTTACTTATCATGAAGGACATTGGCCAAGGAATTAAATGTCATCAAAGATTTGGGGATATGGCTCCAAAGGAAAGGCAGGCCTCAGGGAATCTCAAAGTCTATTTCAGGGCCAGTAGAGAGTTGTGATTTTAGAAGTACTGATGTGTGGCTGATAGAGTAGGGAGATGGAGATGATCTGATGAAGGGCTCATGAAGAACCATCCCTACAGAACAGAAGCTGGGTTTGTCATCATGGACAGTGGTTTCCAAACCTGAGTGTGTCCATGTCACCTGAAGGTCTATTTAAAATATGAGTAGTTGGTCTTACTCATTGGGCTTCTAATTCATAGGTCTGAGGTGAGGTCATAGAATTTTAATTTCTAAGAATTTCTTAAGTGATCCTGACAGCCTGTGAATCATATGTTGAGAAGTGCTGATGCAAAATGCAGAAATAAGTCCTTGAGAATACAGATAATAGCAATGTGACTGGAATAAGGTGAGGCATCAGAGTGGCATTTGAATACAGTCAGGCACCACATGGCCATGATGACATTTCAGTCACTTGTGTACTACATATGTGATGGTGGTCCCATATCTGAGTTTGTATGTGTTCCCTATCATCTTTGTGCAATGATACAGTCAGATCAAGATGTGATTCTCAGAACATGTCTCCATTGTGAAGCAGCCCATGACTGTTTTAATAATTACATTTCATAATTTTGACTTTACCTTTATTTGAAATTTACATAGGAAATCAAAATGATATTGTCTATTATAAAATTCCATATTGGTATGGACAAATATAAATGGAAAATGAGGAAAAATTTAAACACATAGGCTTGCAAAGGAAATCATCAGAAAACCAGGATAAAGCAAAAATAACATATTGTAAAAGGAATGTGATGGTATTAGCAGCATTGTCAGTAACCTCTGTGAGGGGGAAATCATCAAAATAAATGAGGGTATATTTGTTTCGTATAAAAAGTAGAGAAGGTCAAGTATAAATAATTCTGCATGTATTCTAACCATGCTTCATCTTTTACACTTGATTTTTAGGCCAACTGCCAGGCAGCCAAAGGACAGTATGTCCACACAGGTTCATCGGGGGCTGCTTCAACCCAGTCTCTCTTCACGGCAAGCTATACCTACTAGGCCTTGACTCCAACCAACCTGGCCCCACTTCTTCTAAGTGTCTTAGCAAGAGGGCTGACAGGAAACTGCCTTTCATTTGACCTGGTAAATCAGACTGAATTAAACAGGAACTGTTGAAAACACAATAATGATAAATATGAAATACAAAGGACGAAAGCAGATCAGTTATTGATATAGAGAAGCATGAATATGAAGAATTTGATGAAATTTCACACAACAGGTTTCTCACAACACATCCTGCTCTTCATGTTTCAGTGTATCCATCCAAGAAAATAATAGGCTTTAAAACAAAATCAGCTTTCTACCAAGATGACAACTACTGAAGGAAATCTCTCAAAAGCTCAGAGAAGAAAGTACATTTTATGACAGAATTTTAGCTGGGGTAGGTTATAAAGGAGATAGTTGCGACTGAAAAATAAATAAAATGCTCTATAAACCTTCAGCTGGTGCTGAGTGCTGCTTTTTTGCTCTTGTTATTGAAGTACAATTCATCATCCAGGACTTAACAACGCTGATCAGCTGCCAGGATCCTTAGTTTTGGCTACTCATTAGAACCTAACAGCAAAATGGAGAGAACCTGGATGCTCAGGTTACATGCCAGCACAATTAGATCAGAAAACCCTGGATGTAGAATCATCTGTTGGATTTCTTGAAGTCCCCCTGGTAATTCTAATGTGTAGCCAAGCTTAAAAATCACCCATCTAAATTTCAAGTGTGAAGATATTTGAAAATCAATACCACTAATAATGTGAAACTAGCTAAAATGTAGAATGAGTTCAAGCAGTCTGAGAAGTGTGGTGAAAATCCAAGGGATTTGGAGCTTGGAACATTGCTTGTATGTGCCCAGGTTTGATGACATTTTCCTCAACATATCCAAGCAGGCTACCCAGCTTTGCAGTAAATAGTCTTCACATAGTTATGCTGTACTGGCTCTCAATTTCCAAAAGTTATTTTATAGGTGACACATTTAGCACAAACATGACTACAAAAGAGAATTTGAACATAAGATAACATAGAAATCACTTAACTGACGAGAGCTGGGAAATAGAAAAATAATGAAATAAAGAAGTGGAAGAAAGCAAAATGAGTTAGGAATAACTGTTTAAAATTGATGGGTTAAGAAACCCAATCAGATAAATTGATTTTAAACATTAAAATATATGGAATAGTGGATCAAATTGCTGCCTTCAACACTTAAGTATTCCACATGAGTTCTTAGTTGGAGTGCTGGCTGTGTTACTTCATTTTTAAAATGATATATTCATTTGAAACTCAGAGTTACAGAGAGAGAGAGGGAGAGACACACAGAGAAACCTGCCATTTACTGACCCATTCTGCAGATGGCTGCAATGGCAAGGGTTGGGCAGGACCAAAGCCAGGATCCAGGAGCATCTCCTATATTTCCCATGTGGGTACAAGAGGCCCAGTCAATGCGTCCATGTTTCACTGCTTTTGCCACAACTTTAGTTGGGAACTAGACCAGAAATGGAACACCCACAACACAAACTGATGCCAATACAGAATGCCTGCAGTGCAGGTAACTTTGTTTTGTTTGTTTTTAAGATTTGTTTATTTTTATTGGAAAGGCAAATTTACAGAGAAAAGAAGCCACAGAAAGATCTTTCATCCACTGGTTCACTCCCCAAATGGTTGCAATGGCCAGAGCTGAGCCAGTCCAAATCCAGTAGCCAAGATCTTCTTCTGGGTATCCCATGTGGGTGCAAATTTCCAAGCGTTTGGGCTATCCTACTCTTCTTTTCCAGGCTATAAGCTGGTAACTGGAAGGGAAGTGGAGCTGCCAGGACACACACCAGCACCCACATGGGATCCCGGCATTTCCAAGTGGAGGATTAGCCAATTGAACCATTGAGTAGTCCCACAGGTGGCGACTTTACTCACTCTACTACAATACCAGCCCAGCTACCCTATTTTTTTAAAAAAAAATATTTATTTTGTTTTTATTGGAAAGTCAGATTTACAGAGAAGAAGAGACAGAGAGAAAGATTTGTCCACTGGTTCACTCCCCAAGTAGCAACAACAGCCAGAGCTGAACTGATCCAGAGCCAGGAGCCAGGAACTTCTTATGGGCTCCCACATGGGTGCAGGAGCACAAGGCTTTGAGACATTCTTTATTGCTTTTTCAGGACACCTACATGGAGTTAGATTGGAAGTGAAGCAGCTGGGACCTGAATCGGTGCCCACCTGTGATGCCAATGCCAGAAGCAGAGGATTAACTTGCTATATGCCATTTTGCCATTCCTCAGTACTTTAGGTAATAAAAGTAATAGTAATTAATTTGAACATTAGGGTTCCATAGAGAGGGGAAGATGGGAAGGAGGGAGGGAAATAAGAAGAGTCAGAGGAAGAAAAGAAGGAATGGAGGAAGAGAGGGAAGAAGATAATGGGAGTCAGAGAGTGAGATCTTTCTTCTGCTGCTTCACTCACCAGATGGCCACAATGATTGGGGCTAGTCCAAAGCCAGCAGCCAGGAGCTTCTTCTGGGTCTCCCACATGAATGGTGGGGGCTTAAGCACTTGGGCCATCTTCTACTGCTTTTCCCAAGTCATTAACAGGCATGAGATTTCATTTTTGATACAACTCCTTGCTAACAGCTCAGAAGCAGTGGAAGATGGCATATGTGTTTAGGCCACTGTCAACCATGTTTGAAGCACAGATGGAGTTCCAGGCTCTGACTTTGATCCAGTCCAGCTGTGATCATTGCGGTGCTTGAACAACCAGATAGGAGATCTCTCTCTCCACTCTATTTGTAATTCTGCTTTTCAAATAGATCTTTAAAACAACATGTAGGTATAAATCATTAAAATATTCTTGTAATTAAAAATGGAAGATGAACTTAGGTCCTTGTCTTGAATAGTACACAGATGATATTCCTTAGAGTCATTAATTAGTGGAAGCAAAAGCATATTATGTAGAGAATAAGACAGAATTGGTCTGAAGGAGCTTCTCTTGAGAAGGAAGACCTGGGAGTGGATCACAAGGAGGCAATATTTACTAATTACATATGTAAGTGCTATCTACAACAGTTGCATATGATGATATCTGTTCTTACTTTTCTCAAAGCATCTAATTCTATATGCATTTTAGACCTGCCTTTGATATAATTTCATTTAACCTGTGGATTTCATTTTATGTATGATAAAACCAAGCTCAGAACAATTAAAATACTCAGCAAGGGTCACACATTTAGGGTAGAGCTTTTTCATACAATGGTCACATATTCCGAAAGGTAGGAATTGGCAGGATTACAGGGAGTGTTCAGTTCCTCTGCCACAGTCTTTCAGGTCTTCTGATCTTCCTATTGTATCCATCAAGTCAACCAGCAAATATGCAAGTTCTTACCATGTACCATGATGTTCAAAAGCTCCTTGACCACACCTTGTGTGATATTACGTTTCCGCCAGGAAATTTTTATATACAGCTTACTCAACATCATGGATTGAAATGGCTGCAAAGACTCTCTTAGTTTCTCACTTAGTATTTAAGCATGAATTTACAATCAAGGCTCAGTTATATCTTCTGGTCAGCACTGAATTACATTTCACCGAGGGGTAAGGATTTATATAACATTTTCCCTAGCTACCATCTAATGTATTTCTCCTACTCAACAGCTGTAATTGTGCTTAAAATCTCAAAACATAGTTTTTCTCCTTCTCCAACCAAATGCTAACCTTGTTTTTTCCTTTGCTTGTAAATTGGAAAGCAAAAAATCCTCAAAGTAAATCCCTGTGTTAGGATTCACTGTAGCTCATCCCAAAGCTTAGTAGGTTCCCACCTGCTCTCCATTACATTCAACTCATCAAATTGGCTCTTTTCAGAGCAGGGAAAAAAATCAAGTTTTTCTTTAATCTACAGTCCTGTTCTCAATTCCTTATATTAAAAAATAATTTACTTGACAAATGATTGAACATATACATGAGGTACACTGATATCACTCTTATTTACAGACAAGTAACTTTCTCTTCCTTGTATAACCAATAGAAGTGACTAAAAAGAACAGCAAATAAAGGGTTGCCATATAAATAAAACATACCTGAAAGACCATTCCCTCCAAATATTTCACATTTGAAACTTTAGTAATTTCTTCATTCTCTACTAGGTATACTTTTTTCCCATCACAGCACTACTGTAATTGACATTGTAGTTTAAAAGTGGTATATGGTTAAGACATTTTCCTCTGTTTTTACTAAATGATCTATTCACTATCTCAAGGCAAGCATGAATAAAATTAGAAGTGGCATCAGTCTCTTAGAAATTAGTTCATCTTTTATTTTATTGAGTACTATCTGTATCTTTAGTATTCCTGCCTGAAAAAAACAAACAAAAAATAAAATTAAATCATAACCAGCTAAAGTGGGGGGAGAAGGAAAAAGAACCTATTAAGGGTGGCCAGGGCAGCAGCTTAGTGGATAACACCTCTGCCTCCAACATGGGCATCCCGTAGGAATGGCTGCTTTGCTTCCTATTCAATCAGGTGCCTGAGAAAACAGTAGAAAATGGCTGAGGGTCCTTGTATCCCTTTGGGAGACCCAGAAGCAGCACCTGGCTTCAGGCTTCAGTTTAGTCCATCAGGAGCTATTTTTGGCCATTTGGGGGATTGAGCCAGAAGGAACCTGTTTTTTTCTCCTTGCCACCCTCTCTATAACTTTAAATAAAATATTTAATTCAAGCTTTTCAAACAATACTTCTTAATGTACAATTTTCTTATAAATGTATAGTTTTTTTTTTCTTAGAATTTCATAGATCTAAGTCAGGAATAATCCCCAAATGTTTTCATTTTCATGATGATCCTTGCAAATGAAGGCATCTCAGGATGTGTTGTTGTATTTGGAAGGGTACAAGGAGAGTATTGGTGCAGCGAGACAGCAGAATCAGTGACTGTCTCTAAAGGGTTTTTTTTTTTTTTGATAAGGCAAAAATTTTTCATCTGATGATTCACTCAAGCAGCTATAATGACCACAAGCAGCCCAGACTGAAATCAAAACTCTGAACTCCATCAAGGTTTCCCACATGATATCAAGGACCCACCTACTTGGACCATCTTCCACTGCTTTACCAGGTGCATTAGCAGGGAGCTGGGCATGAGGTAGCCTGGACTCAAACTGGCTCTATTATAGGAGATGCTTGCATCTCAGGTGTTAGCTTAACCAAAGTGCTGATTACATGTTTTGTTGTGAAAAATCCACAGCTGTATAAGCCAAATGTGTCCCTTTAATACACACTTAATACATATTCAAACACAAGGAAAATACTGCCATAGAAATCTAGGCAAGAGTTGTCTCCTGACAGCCCTCTTGGTCTACTTGCTCTTGCCACATTTCAAACTCATGAACAACCAGAAATTCACTCTGGTACTCTCACAATTCCTTTTCAAATTCTTCAATATCTTCCCTGAGACTTATCTTTCGCTTTTAACAATCACATCCTCTACCACGCACACACATCCTTTTGAAAAAACTTTTCTTCCATTTTCTTCTCAAGCTCTCCACATTTCTGTATTGTTTTCTTGAGAAAATGAACATACTATCTGTTGTTAAAAATATAACTCCTGGGGGACTATATTTATAAGCAATGAATCATTATGTACGTGATTATGTGGTGTTCTTGACACCATATATATATGCTACAAGAGTTATCAGTCAGGGATGGTAAATGTAATATAATTCTAGTAGGACTATCTTGCATCTCTATGACCTCAAACTGAACTAACCAATTTTTGGGTCTCCTGCTAAGCAAAACTATGCATGAAATATTGGAATCCTAACAAAAGATTAATAATAAAAAAAGTGTTTTCAATGTGTGTAGCATAAACACACATTTTACACATTCATACTGAGAACATGTTTAAAAATCTCATAAGTTGAGACTCTATTCTGGGACCCACCAGCATAAATAAGCATGGGCAGATACAGGGCAATATATCATTCAGGAATCAGATGTGGCCTTTTGTGTACTTTCTTTGGAATCTCGTCTTTGAAACGTTAAATGTACGGTAACCAAGTACCTAATTTGAATAAGGGAATGCACAAAGATAAATATACTTCTATGCATGCATACAGACAACACATGATATTCAGAGATGGGAAAAACTAAAGTGTGGAGGAGGTGAATTTTAGAATGGTTGAGGTGTAAGAGAAATGGAGACAACTTACTTCAACTTCTAGGAAGTTAAAATTACAAAGTTCCACCTATTTGGAATTATACATTTTGAAACGAAAAACAAAAGCAAAAGCAAGTTTCAACTAAATTTCAATTGAGGTACTCTAGAAGAAAATAACTGGTTGTAGGTAGAACAAATGAAAGCAAGTTCCTTCAAATTCCTGATTGTAACAATCAACCAACCAACCAAAAACCCCAGTAATGTAGTTGACAGGATTGATTCTACACTAAGGAAACAAATAACTCTCACACAGAGCAAAAAACAAAACCAATTTTAATGATTAAAACAGATTAATAGGTTTATAATAACTATTGTGGGAAGACCTAGAACCAGAAGTAAAGATTTTTAAATTGCATGCAAAACCTAGTTACCATTAAAACCAAAGCAATACCAAAATATCTTAGCTTCCTAGCATAGACTCCAGGCCCTTCGATTTTCAACTCATGGTAATCAAAATATGTACACTTTCACATGCTTCTAGTTGTAAAGGAGTAAGCTTATTCATATAGGACTACAAATATCTTTCCCAGATGAGAGGGCATAACAGTATCTTCCCTCCATCGTTTTGGGCCAATCTCACAGGGAAAAAGGCACTCCCCAAGGTTTCTCAGTAACACCTTTGCTAAGTTTTTTAATCACTCACATAATCTTTAAATTCGCCTTTATTTCACAGATCTGAGAACTACCTTTCATCAACCTATAAGCCAAATAATTAGCTTTCTTAAATAGACAAAAACTGCAAACTGGTTTCAAAAACACCTGGGCTTTGCTTCCTTGACAACTACTTAATGACTGGACTTTGGCATGCACAGCCAAACATATTACAGAACTAAAAGGACCACCACATGATATAGTTGTAAAACCATTTAAATTAATATTCTGTTTTCTAGTTTCTGTTGCTACTACTTCCCTTGTAGTGATTTGACTTTGTCCTTCAGAGCAACTCTCCCATGCTCTACATCTGGGTTTAACCTCTCTACTGAAAGATTCATGAAGAAAACAAAACACAAGCCAGATGTTTGAGTTTCCAGGTCTTTATGACCATTAAAACAAGGAGCAACAGAAGTGAACCGCTCATAAACAGTTATCCATTATTCACAGAAACCTTAGAAACCATTTGCCTGAGTTCAAAGAGAATCTGCTTCATCGCTACATCTGATTTATACCAAAACTGCACTTGGGTAGCTAGGATAGTTAATTTCACATTAAATTGAGCTGACATATTTTTCAGCACTTACTGCATCCATGCAGTGTGCAATTTTTGATGCTGAATAAGAGAAAGGTGGCAATTGAAGGCTTCACCACAAGCATCACATTCATGGATTTCTTGTGATTTCACTTCAGCATGGATCTTCTGATGATTGACTAGGCTGCGCTGCTGACTGAAACTTTTGTCACACTTCTCACATTTATAAGGCTTCTCTCCTGTGTGTATTCTCTGATGCTGAATTAGACCCGAGTTCCGACTAAAGGCCTTCCCACATTCGTCACATTTATGGGGTTTATTACCCGTGTGAACACCCTGATGTCGAATAAGATTACAAAGTTGACTGAAGCTCTTGCCACACTGTCTGCACAGATAGGGTCTCTCACCAGTGTGGATCCTCTGATGTTCAATAAGAAATGAACTCCGACTGAAGCTTTTCCCACAAACAGTGCACAGATAGGGCTTTTCTCCGGTGTGGATTCTTTGATGTTGCACAAGATGAGCACTTACACTAAAAGTCTTCCCACATTCATCACATTTGTAAGATTTTTCCTTAGGACAAGCCTCCTGTTGTATAACAAGACTGCAATTTGGATCAAAACTGTCCTTAGTTTCATTATATTGGTAAGTCTTCTCCCTGGTATGGATTCTCTGATGTTGAATAAGACCTGAGCTTCTACTAAAGGCTTTTCCACATTCCTCACATTTATGAGGTTTGTCCCCTGTGTGAATTCTCTGATGACGAGTTAGATTACAAAGCTGACTAAAGCTTTTCCCACATTCTTTGCATTGGTAAGGCCGTTCACCAGTATGGATCCTCTGATGCTCGATAAGGAATGAGCTCCGACTGAAGCTTTTTCCACATTCAATACAAAGAAAAGGCTTCTCACCCGTGTGGATCTTTTGGTGTTGTATAAGGTATGTACTTAATCTAAAGGCTTTCCCACATTCACCACATTTATGGGGTCGTTCCCCAGTGTGAATTCTCTGATGTTCAACAAGCAATGAATTTCTGCTAAAGCTTTTCTTGCATTTGGTACAGTGATAGGGTTTCTCACCAGTGTGAGTTCTTTGATGTTCAATAAGGTGCGACTTCCAGCTGAAAGCTTTCCCACAGTCATTACATTTATGGGGCTTCTCACCTGTATGAATCCTTTGATGCTTAACAAGGCTCCTTCTCTGGCTAAAGCTTTGCTTACACTGATTACACTGATACGGTCTTTCTCCAGTGTGGATTCTTTGATGTCTAATAAGAGTTGAACTTACACTAAATGTTTTTCCACAGTAATTACACTCATAGGGCCTTTCTCCAGTGTGAATTCTCTGATGTTCAATAACAAATGAACTGCGACTGAAACTTTTCCCACATTCATTGCATTGAAAAGGTTTCTCACCAGTATGGACCCTTTGATGCTGAATGAAATGGGCCTTGCGGACAAAACTTTTTCCACATTCTTCACATCTGTGGCATTTCTCTTCTGAGTTTGGTCTTTTCCGGATGATGTTAGTGTTGCTCCTGAACATTCTCGATTCCGGAGTCAGAGATTCCCTTGGTATTTCCCACAAGAATATCCCTCTCTGTTTGTCTAACCTACCAACCAGTTCAAAGGTTTCTTTCCCCATAGGATCCTGGTCAATTTCACTTTTGATTCTCCTAACTATTACACCCTGTGGTTCCACGTCTTCCTCAATTTCTTCAATTTCTTGTTTGATAGTTGGCTCCTCATCATCTTTTTTTAAAACATCTGAAACAACAAACAAGAAATACAGACACCATCCTAACTCTTTGATGGCAAGAAGAAATTACAAAAACAAACAAAAAAAACAAACCAAACCAAACAAAAAAAAAAAAAAAAGCAGTACTCAAAAAATTAGTAATAAATAAATAAACTATGTACAAAATATGTTTTACTACCTCATACTATTGTGTAGATTACAACAGCTCATACATATAAACCATTTATAAAAGTACCTGACAAGAAGTATAAGCTATGTAAATAATATTTGGTATTTGTTACTGGATACAATGAAATTTTTTAGAGTATGAAGAGTAATCATAGGAAAAGAATGAGTCAGTAAGAGAAAGCAGATTTGTGAAGAAGGGTTCATAAAACAATACCGAATTACATAACATGGGCAAGCAAGCAGGTAGTGATTGGAATAGCTAGTACCTCAGAAAAGAAAGTAACATGGGAGGAATATAAATTCAAACAAATTAGGATAAGAAAAGTATTATTGGAATGTGAACAGATCAAATAACTGACATAAAGGAACATATAAAAAGGATGTCAGGAAGGATGAAAGACAGGCATGCAACAATTCATTAATAAAAATGTATGCACTACCCATAGCAAGAGTATATGTAATAAGCCAGGATTCAGAAACAAGACAGGCAGCCCCCAACCGTATGGTATTAAGTAAAAACAGGGAAAGAAAATGATAGAGGATATATTAAGTAAAGAGCAGCTTCTATATGAAATTACAAAATGGTTGTAAACAAAAAAGGCTGAAGTGATATGGAATCTATGACACAGAGAACTGAGTATAAAAGAACATGGCCAAAATTAATAGGTAATAAAAAACTAGAGCATTCTATGGTAACTTACGACTTCTCTTACCACAAATGATACCACATTCTTAAAATATTTTAACAAATGATTCTCAACCCTCTAGCGACAGAAGACCATCTTTTGTAACTGTGCGATTTCTGAGAAATGAATGTTTCATGTAATTTATTAAAAATATTAATTTATTTTTATTAAAAAGGCAGATTTATAGAGAGCAGAAGTAGAAAGATCTTCCACCCAAATGGCCACAATGGCCAGAAGTGAGCCAATCCCAAGCCAGGAGCCTCTGGGACAAAGCAGGAACCTGGACTGAAGTGAAGCAGCTGGCATATACACTGGTGCCTAGGTGCTACAAGGTTGAAGTTCAGCCAGTTGAGCCTTTGTACCTGCCCCATGTTTCTTGTATTAAAGAGAAGATAGTATAATGGTGTATGATATAAAGAGTGGTAGATAGCTTCCCTAAGCCTGACTCTGAGTCCTTCCCTGATTTTCCAATTCTAATTTTTACAGAATCCAACTTAAAAATATATTATCAAATTTATATATGACCCTAAATAAGTTTATTTTCTCATATATCCTCTTTTTAAATTTTCTAGTTTTCTAACTATGGAGTCATCTTTGAATTCTGTCTTCACTTACTTAGAGCCAGTCATTATTATTAATTCTCCCAAAAGCTACCAAATAAAAACTTCCATTATGCCCCTAAGAAACTACTAGCAGCTTTATTTCTGCTTATTTTGCCTTCAATCTCCCCTCTCAAAATCATTTTCAACAAGCTACTTTCATTCACACAATGAAAAAGGATGAAACAAACTCTCCTGATTCTCTGTTCTTTAATTGTATAATTACACACAACAGAGGATGGTGTTGTGGCACAGTGGGTTAAATCATATTAGTACCAGATCAAGTCTTGTCTGCTCCACTTCAATCCAGCTTAACTGGGGGAAAAGCAGTGAGAAGATGGTCCAAACACTTGGGCTCCTACCATCCACAGGGGAGATCCAGATGCAGTCCCAGGCTCCTGACTTAGGCCTGTGCCAGCCAGCCCTGGCTTTTGCAGGCATTTGGGGAATGAATAATCAAGCTGAAGATGTCTTTCCCTTTAACTTTGCTTTTATTAATGCCTTAGTATAATATACATAAAATACACGAACACATAACCCATTCCTATCCAAAGCCAATCCTACTGCTTCTTGATCCCACTCTTCTCTGGGCAATTATTACTGTTGTCCAATTATCACTATCCTTTCATCAATCTATATTCTCCACTGACAACTTTCTACCATCACACAAGTTTGAGTATTTTCCAACTCTGTCTTGAACCTGAAATCTTTCTTTTAATGAAAAATCAAGATTTGTGGGGCCAGCACATTGGCTCAACAGGCTAATCCGCCAACTTCAAAGGTCAGGCATCCAATGTGGGTGGTTTGCTTATGTCCTGGCTGTTTCACTTCCAATTCAGCTCTCTGCTTATGGCCTGAGAAAGCAGGAGAGGATGGTTCAAAGCCTTGGGACCCCACACCCATGTGGGACACCCAGAAGAGGCTCCTGGCTTCTAGTTTTAGATCGGCTCAGCTCCAGCCATTGCAGCCATTTGGGGAGTAAACTAGGGGATGGAAGATCTTTCTCTCTCTGCTTCTCTCTGTAAATCTGACTTTCCAACAACAACAAAAAATCTTGAAAGAGAGAGAGAGAATATATCAAGCTTTTTGGCAATTCACAAGGTAGTTTTCTATGCCCAACCTTTTCCAGTTAAATCTCTCCTGCAAGCAACTATGAAATCTGGTTTCCATTTCCAGCACCTAGGGAAACTTTTCATCAAATCAATGACTTTCGAACAACACAACAGGCATTTTTCAGTCTTTACTCAGTAGCATCTGACACTGTTTATCATATCCATTTCTTTATATTACATGTTCTTAGTTTCTATGCTACCACATTTTATTTCTTAGGCCATATCTAATAAATGTACTTCATTTATTTCTCTTCCTTTGTTGATCATCTTATATAACCGTTATCCAGGTTGACAAAATTACTTATTCTCTATATACATTCTCTGGACAGACAGCTCCATTTAGATAGCACACAATGGGCTTACAAACAATATGATCATTATCTGTTCTCATATCATTGCCCACATCTAAGTGTCACCACTTTAAAAAAAAATCTTAAGGAAGAAAATAATCCCAGACTTCTCCCCATTTCTTATTGTTAAGCATCCTAATCATAGATTCCTTTTTAGCATATACTTTCTTTTAACCTTCAGTTACACAGCCATTTAATGCTTTTTTGATGGCTTGGACTTTGGGTTATCCTCACATTACATTCTGCCTTACTGGTCTTGTGTTTAAAAAATGGAATTCTGGAGCCATAAGGCTAAGCTTCCACCTTTGGAAGGTGGTGCTGGCATTCCACACGGGCACAGGTTCATATCCTTGTTGCTCCACTTCCAATTCAGTTCCCTGCTTGTGCACCTGTGAAAGCAGTATGATGGATCAAGCCCGTGGGCCCCTGCCCCATATGGGAGACCTGAGGAAGCTCCTGGCATCAGATTAGCTCAGCTCTGGCCAGTAAGGCCATTTGGTGAGTGAACCAGCAGATGGGAGACCTCTCTCTCTCTGTAATGCTGCCTTTTAGATAGAAATAAGTTAGATCTTTAAAAAAAAAAAAGTAGAATTCTACTCATTTCATCACTTACAGATTTAGCAGCACTACATTGTCTTCAAGATCATACCAAAGCCCTATATTATATTCAGAATTTTTCATGACATGGTCATTAAGTCTCAATTCACATTCTCACTTACACTATTGTACTTTATGTAGGTAAACCGCATGTATCAGTCTTTTCATGTCATACCTTTGCGTATTTCATTTATTAAGTGTGCCCCAAAATTGTTTATCTGGGCATCTCTTGATTCTTTTAAGATTCAGTTCAAAGTCATATATAGTTCCTCAATAAAGCCTCTGATGCATCCACTAGACAGGTTCCAGTATTCTGTTTTTCAATCTGCCATCCACTCATAGCTTCATTATGGTTATTATACTGTACTTTTAAACTATATGTCTTTGTATCTTCCATTGCATTATAAGTTCCTGGGAAGAGCACTGTAGCACAGTGGTTAAGCCACATGGGACTTCTGCATCACATACTGGAGTGACTGGTTTCAGTCCTAGTCACTCTGTGCTTTGAAGTCAGCCTTCTAATGATGACCCCAAGAAGCAATTAATATCCAAATAAACGCAGGAAAAAGATAAGAGCACACATTCTCTGGATGGTGGGAGAACTATCTACATGTCAGAAAGTGTGCCCTCTCTAGGAACTGAATCTACTAGTGCCTTGATGTGGACTTCCCAGCTTCCAGAACCAAGAGATAACTGTTATTTCTCATCCATGCTTTAGTATATTGTCACAGCAGCGTGGACTAACCACCAACAGAATAACTCCCAACTTCCTGGATTGATTTGATTTCTGATATGTAGTTTTAGTAATGTTCCTATGTTCTGAAAGACATCCTTATGCCTCTAGAATAATTCCCTTTAAGTTTAGGCATAAGCTAGCTTGAGTTGATTGTAATCACCTTTAATCAAATAGTTATAGTAATACTAAAACTGGCAAGAAGGAGAGAATGCAAATGCAAGATAATGATGAATTAACTTTAGGACAGAATAGCAGCTGGCATGCTTTCTCTGGGAAGTATCAAACAGTAGACATTTTTCACTTTGTGAGCCATTATCACCTCTATTCCACCTACTACTCACTACTTTCATTGTATATGAAAATAATCATAGATAACACATAAAAGACTGGGCATATCCATGTTTCAATAAAACCTGAATTATAAAAATCGGCAATGGTCATAGTTGTTAATGTTAGTATCCATCAGAGAATAAAATGAACAGGATTCCTAAGTAACAGAATGGAAGAATGGTGAGGGGAATTCAATAGTTAATTAACTGTCAAATAAATGAATAACTGAACAAAAAAACTGAAAAGAGACTACAAAGTTAAAAAAAAAAAACTTGTAGTTGTAGCAACCTTTAGTTCATTGTGACTCAAGTAGACTAAAAAGACTGATTAAAACTGAAGATGTCAGCAAATCAAGGCATCACCAATGTGGCTATGATAGCTTTTCAAGAAAAGCAGCATGGAAAGGAAAAACAGGAAAGAGGAGGCAAAATGATAAAACCAAATGGAGTCACGTTATGAAGAGCACTCAGATGAAGCAGAACACCGAAGTGGAAAAGGAGAGAAAGAATGACCTCTTATCAAAAGGGCACTAATCAAGGGCTTGGAGTGGGTGGGGGTCTTTGAGGAGATGACAAGAGAGTAGGAAGAGAAATAATGGCAGAAAGCTGGACTTAGGTTGCAGTAAGGAATAAAGCGCAAAAATGCAAAATGATAGACGGCTCACAGTCACACCTTCGTCCATATGGTAATCAGATGCTACAGAATCAGGTGCAGGCAAGGCTGGGTAGCTAGCTGATTGGTTCTATCATCCAGGATACCGTAAGTATGAACACACTGACTCAGAGACATCACGGCATTAAAAGAAAGTCAACAGAAGACATGGCTTAAGATTCAAGTTGCATACAGGAAATAATAAGCTAAGACATCTAAACAGAAGCTATATAAGTTGATTAAGAAATTAGGATTTTTAAAAAATTAAGTTATGAGCAATTCAGGAATTTTAGGGAGTTAACAAGCAAGATTATAGACCTGGCTCTGTGCTAAGTGCTGGAGAAATCAAATAAAAATATGTAGTTTCCATTCTTACAATGAGCACTGTGATTAGAGAAATAAGATATAAAGATCATAGCAACATGACAAATTCATAGCATAACACGATCAATTCAACAATGAAACACATGTAAGGTAGCACACAGGAAGGAGTGTTTAATTCAGATGAGAAGGGTTTTGAAATTTCAATGGATTACTTTGAGACTTATCAGGTTTGAGTTAATATGTGATCTTTCCAAAGGAAAGATCATGATACTGGAAAAAAAAAATCTCTTGAGTTTGATAGTGAGCTCATATGGATCACTGTGAAACAATTTAAAGTGAGTTTAGAGGAGAGACAAAGGAGTTTAAATACCATCGCAGGTAAAGAGGAACAGAACGCTTTAACTGCTCTTACAGACACTTGGCTATGAAGAGAACAAGTACCAAGTTACTAAGAGCACTAAGAGGAAGACTGGTATAAAGAGGGATGTTTCATTCCTTCGCCCAACTGAAATAATCATGAATATGTTTATTAACAAGATAAAGTTATGAAGAGAGAAGCAATATAGACTGAGGCTGTAATGGGGAACAAAACACGATGAATGATGGTAAGTTCTAGAGAAGAGAGAAGACAGGAGCAGGTGTGCCCACCAGGGCAGAGATGCTGCGTTCAGGCTTAGTGGCTTCTATTTTCTCTGCAAAACATGAGATGGGACCACTTATAACTGAGTTCCCCAAAAAAACTCCTTAATGTTTCTGGAAAAATCACTAAAACCAACAGAAGAGTGAGCATATTAAGAACAAAAAAACCACTGAAATACAAAAATCCAATAAAGATGCAAGGAAAAAAACCATGCATACAGAAGGCTATTAGTCTTTATGGCTAGACAGTTTTCCCTACTGTGCTTAGTAACACGGATAAGGAAGCAAGTTTGTATTACAACAGGTAGAGCATAACATCAAGGTGGCAAAATGATTATATGAGGAAGTGAAAGTTTAGAACTGATACACTGGTGAAAAAAAACAGATTTGTAATGAGAAAACTAGATACATGTTGCAATGAGTAGGAGTGAGTGACAGGCAAACTCCAGTCCACTTGATTGAGGCATAAAAAAAAATGTCTGGTTTTGGTCACCTTTTTCTAATTACAGTCCATAAACAGCATTTATCAGTGCTCTGAGTTGTTTTACAAAATAGAGCCCTAAAGTCAATTGGTTGAGTTCCACTAAGGCTCAAGTCCTAGCTAGGTCATCAGTGGCAATGGTTAAAGTAGAGAAGACTGTAAGATATGTGACAATATGTATGAAGGACCGGGCAAAATGCTGACAGGTCATGAAAAGGGATTTGAGTGGGTCGAGCAAGACTGCTGAGGAGAGATTTTGGTTGCAGGTGGAAAGTTTAATGCCTTGGGAGTAGTGGTGGGAAGCTAGGAGAACAGTAACTTCTCCCTTCCAGCCATATGACAGCAGTGAGAAGCGCAGGAACAAGCAGCACCCACACAAAGGTCTGCCAGAAGAAATGTGTCCTGGGCAAAGTGCCAGGTTCCAGGCAGGACTGGTAGGGAACATTCTGTGAAGGGGGACAGGGGCTCTAGAAGGCAGAGGGAATGCCGGTGGGAGGAAGGCGGTGGGAGGATAAGCCACGAGGGAAGTACAGCAATATGGGAGGGAGATTCTGAAGACAGGGAGTTGGAGAGACTTGCCTCTGGCTCATTCTGGAAGCTAAGGCTCCAAGTCATGGAAACCACTTAAGGGCTGAAAGGTTTGGATCAGAAATTGGGGGCAAAGCACTTTGGGTACTGGCCTAAGAATTCTGGGTCTGAGTTTTAGTACCTTGTAAGCTATTCTAAGTTTTTAGTACCTTGTGAGGTATTGTAAGAGGAATGGCAGATTCTTACCCAGTGAGACCAGGTTTCCGTAATTCTCCATCATGACATCTTGATACAGACTTCTTTGAGCTGGGTCCAGATAATCCCACTCCTCCTGGGTAAAAAACACAGCCACATCCTCAAATGTCAGCAACCCCTGAAATAGTACGATTTCTGCCGTCAGTTCCTGTGGTCTCAAGGACAGCTCTACCACTGAAAAGAGCAGAAGCAATCATACATCAGACCATGAGGCACATGGTAACACTACCAGATGCTAGCCAATGTTGGGAACCGACTGCAATGGGACCTCAGGCTACGCTACCAGCAAGTGGATGGTTACTTATCCAAACAGTTAGAGAGCGCTAACGGTAAGGCTTCTCTGGTTTAATAATGACACCATGACATTTTCATTTTGGCAAAGGGCCCCTGGCCTCTCCAAGCTTCCCTTACCTCATTGCCCTGCTCCAATTCTCTATTCGCACTGGCACGTGATCCAATTGAATTCCTTGAGCTTCTCTAAGCGTTTTACCTTGCTCGGGTCCAGGCTCCGTGCCAGGTGCAGAAGACACAGGGAAGGTCAAAAATGATGCCTCACCTGGGGGAAACTCACAAATGAGCCGGCCTGGAGCATTACTAATCTTCTCCAGCCCACTCACTAAGTCGCTCTTGGAAAACAGGAGCCGACGGGCAGTTGGTTCGCGAATCGCACCTCGTGGAGAAGAACTCCGGAGGGAGCTCCTAGCTTCGCGGCGGCCCTGCAAGAAGCCGGGTCAGGAGGCTGGAGGTGGGGGACGGCGGTGCGGCCTAGCTCCGGGGGGCGGCGAGACAACCGGGATCCCCAGAGACCACTTACCTTTGGCTCCGGAGGGGGACTTGGGGAGGCCATCTCCCGCCAGAGACAGGAGTAGGACCTGGGGCGGCGGCTCAGAAAAGGGCTCCGGTGGGGCCTGCCCTGCGGCGCTCAGTGAGGCCCTGATGTCCACCCAGCTCCTGCCTCAGCACGCGAGCGGTCACGATCCTCAAAGCATAGCAGACATAGTCCCTAGTTGCGTCCCAGCCTTGAACCCCACGCCCTGCGTGAATGCGCGGCCTTTCGGGCCTCTTTGGAGCCTCCTCCCAGCTGCTGGTTCCTCCTGCTCCTCGTAGCCCAAGCAGCGCTCCGACCGTCCGCCCCCGGGCCAGAAGGCGTCACCCGGAACCTCCTCCGGACGCCCCCAAACTACAAGTCCCGTCATGCATCAGGAGCGTGCGGACCAGCCTCCCCTGGCATTGGCCACAGGACTACATTTCCCGGCGTGCAGAACGGGAGAGTCGCCACTAAGCGTACGCACGATTGGCTGGCCCTGGCGCGTCGCAGCCCGCGGAGGACGTGAGCGCAGGCGCGCTGCTCTTCTGGAAGATGGCGAGCGTGTGTGTCTCCGGTGCAAGCCGAAGAGGTTTGACGTGGATGGTCTTGAGGATGACGCGTAGAGAATTTTGGTCTCCGTCCAGGTAAAGCTGGAGGTTGGGTGGGCCGCATTTGGGGAAAAGAAGAATAACAGGAGGACGAATGGACGAGTTCAGGACGGCTTTCTTGTGATCTACCCCGGTCCCGAGCCTGCGCGAGGACCCTTGTGAAGGACGGGGGGTCTCAAGGCGCGGCGCAGCTCTCCGGTCGGGGGGCCAGTAGAGCTCCCTCTCGGGTTCAGTCTCCGCCTCTCACCGTGAAAAACACACGGTTTTTCTTCCGCCTTCCTCGGTCTTGATCAAGCCGACAGTTTGGCCCACGTGTGAGTCGCAGAGTGCTGGGTGAGGGTGGGGTCGGCTCCTTCGGTGGGCAGCGCCGTGAGGGGCAGCCTTCACTGGTGACTCACTGGCCAGCGCGTTTCTGTAGCCACGCTTCTGGAGGACAGCATTTCTGTAGACAGGTGGCATGGGGAGCGGAAATGAAGGCCCTTCCCAACACCCGCGTGTCCTTGTGACAGCCAGCAGGACTGAGGTCAGCAGGAGGGAAATCATTTCTGATTTTATTTGAGTCTTTTTTTTCTTATAATTTAGGTGCTACTTTTGGTTGTCATTTGCATGGACTGTCTTTCCTTTCCTTCATGCTCAAGCCACATCATTGAGTCTGAGTTTCTTCTAGATAACATATGATTGGGTTTTGATCCATTCAGCCACTCTCTTTTACTTAAGATGTTTATTCCAGTTATATGAATTACGCGCAATTGCATGAATTTCTAAAGATTAGCATTTTATTTGGGTTATGGTTCTAGAGGCCAGGGAGACGAAGAACATGACATTGGCATCTGTTGGATTCGTGACTAAGTCTTTTATTAAGCACTTCTGCGATGTCAGCAAATTATTTCGTGTTAGCCCATATACTCAGTAGTAGCTATTCAAGCAATTATTAAATATATTTTTCAAGATTTCCATAAATCATTAAAATGGGTTTCTGTGTTTAGGAGCTTCTAATGTAGTGCAGTGATTCTCAGAATGTTATCCACTGGGAACCTGGACAGTTTGCCTTGATAGCGCTAAAGACAAGAGCCCTACTGGTGGAGATGAGACTTGCTGTTAATTATCGTGAAGGACAGGCTCCCCTAGCAAAACTTATGCAATCCAAAGTATTGCAGTTTGGAGGATAATAAACCTGATCTGTTAAGAAAAGTTAGAATATAAATAAAATTGTAACTAAGGTAGGGTATGATGATACACTCTGAAAGCACCATGAAGTGCTGAGATCAATGGAATGTAGAGTAATGCTTGACTGAGAAAATAAGTTAAAGCTTGGAGTTGTTGCAGGACTTGAAAAATAAGAAAAATTCAGTAGGTAAAGGTGAAAATAGATATTCAGAAAGGATATAACTTGAACTGGCGTGGTATCATGAAAACAGGATTGTGTGTGGGACAGACTGCGTCATTTTGTAGAGGACGTGGAGTCCAGCTAGGGAAATGAAGTTAGCGAGGCGGATGAGGTTGAGTCTTGGAGGATTAGGAGTACAGAATGATGATTTATCTGTCTTCATAACTAATTCTGTGAAACTCTTAGTATGTAAAATACATTTTTTAAAAAAGATTTATTTTTATTGCAAAGTCAGATATACAGAGAGGAAGAAAGACAGGAACATTTTCCGTCTGATATTCACTCCCCAAGTGGCCGCAATGGCTAGAACTGAGCCAATCCGAAACCAGGAGCCGGGAGCTTCTTCCAGGTCTCCTTCACAGGTACAGGTCCCAAGGCTTTGGGCCGTCCTCAACTGCTTTCCCAGGCCACAAGCAGGGAGCTGGGTGGTAAAGCGGGGCAGCTGGGACTAGGACTGGCGCCCATATGGGATCCCGGGTGTGTAAGGCAAGGACTTTAACCACTATGCTATCGTGCCGGACCCATAAAAAACATTGTCTGTCTGTATCTATTCATTCAGCTATAAGCATTCCAGTTGCAAGGGTCTGCCTCTCATATTCTTTTCTGTTTTTCACAGTTACAAGAGTAATAAATGCAAATTATTCTGTGATTTTCATTAATGAGTAAAATTTGGTCTGGTGTTTGTCAGTTTTGTGAATATAGTAAAGCAAAGATTCACGTGTTTTGTTCTGGACATTCCAGAAAAGAGAAGGATCCAGTAGAAGAGGTGAAGACAGTAGAAGAGGTGAAGAAAGAACCTATCTTGGTGTGTCCGCCCGTACGAAGCCGAAAGTATGTGCCACCTGACGATCTCCAGAGTCGTTTGGAATTTCATGTTAAAGAAGTTTTGGGCACATCTCTTCCCGGCAATTGGCAGGACATCTCTCTGGATGATGGTCACATGAAGTTTAGTCTGTTGGCACGCTTAGGTGATGACTTGGGCCATGCGGTGCCCAACTCCAGGCTTCACCAGATGTGCAAAGTCAGAGATGTTCTTGATTTCTATAATGTCCCTGTTCAAGATGGATCTAAATTTGATGAACTTAGTACAAGTAATCTACCCCCTAATTTGAAAATCACTTGGAATTACTGACTTATGTGGAAGATAAACGCATTGGTAGCATTTTTCCCCTAAGCAAGGGAGCTGCTGATTAGATCTTATTTTACCTTTAGAACTGTTCTCTGAATCACATTTTTCTATAGAAGAATGCATCAATCTTTTTTTAAAATTTTCATGCGTGAGTTCACAAAGAAATAAAAGTACTTTTTTTTTTTACATTTGCTAAACCAGTATCATTAAAAAATAGACTCATTAATATTAATTTGTGGAACATTTTTTTCTTCAGAGGACGTTGGAGTTGACTTGGGAGGTTGCAAATGCGTTTTGAATAAAAACAAATCTTTAAAAAAAAGTGATGCGGTATTTCAAGTTGAGACATGATCATATCCTTCATGGGCATCAAGCAGTTGAAAGAAAATGCTTAAATCCAAGGTGGAATTATTACATAATACATGTATAAAGAAAGAAACTTGTATGAGATAAGATACTTAGAAAAATATGTGTTGTAAATTACGTAAAATATTTCATTATTTTATTGCATGAGTAGAAATAACAAAATAATAATGTCCATTTGGTGTTAATCTGTTTTGGAATTAAAAGTCATTTCTTAAAGTTATGTTGTGTGTTTTTACTTTTTTAAAGTGAAATTTGGCTTTATTTTCTGCCTTGTTATTTCCTTAAAGTAACTAGTTATCATCAGTCTTTTTTTTCTGTAATTTTTAAAAAATATGACAGTGATGGCTGTATTAAAATGTGTTAGCTAATATTTCTTATAAAAAGTGTGTGTTTACATAAAAGTAACATGTGTCAAGTGGCATGAACATTTGTTCTGTGCTTTTACTACATCACTTATACAGGGCAGATTTTTAAGAAAACAGAGACAAGAAAGCAGAAACAGCAAAGTTGTCTCCACCCCACTACTTAGATAATCACCTAACATTCTGGTGTATTTCCCAATGGAATAAAGCTAATTTATGAGATAGATTGCTAGTGCTTTACATTATGAGCATTTATGCTTTTAGTGATCTCAAAATAACAAATTAAATTAGTATATTAATTTATGATTAGGTGATAAGTACTAGTTTAGCTAAATATTCCATTATTGGTTTTCTGTTTTTTCGCTTTAAAACTTACAAAACAATACTTGTAGAGTTGTACAAAGGGCTTTCATATGTCACAGCCAGCTTTTCATTTTAACATTTTGTTTGTTTCAATCCATAAGCCACAGCCAACTTCCAATATTTTTATGAGTGCAGATTCCCCCTAACTCAATTCTTCAGCTTCTAGCATTCAACATCTGTGTTTATCTTAGCTCCAACTTATGAGAGAGAATATGCAGTGCTTGTGTGCTGTGTCTTTCATTGAACATAATGTCCTCCAGTTTCATTCATTTTGTTGTACCTGATAGGATCTCATTTTTGGTGTCGTAATATTCCATTGTGTGTATTATCTGATGAGACTATATAGTTGTGACCAGTATTGCAGGAAACATGGTGGAGCAGGAATTTCTGAGAGAATAATTCATATCTTTAAATGTCTTTTTTGGATAACACCCACTGTGTCAGATGAGGTAGAACTGTTGGCTATTTGTGTTATGAGAACTCTAGCCCTTCTTTCTTTATTAACTGGACTGTTAATTTCTTGACGTGTTCTGGATATTGATCACATAGGTAGTTGGCGTTTGTTTTCTATTGCATGTAACTTCACTCTTGATTCTTTCCTTCTTGTACAGAAGCTTCTGAGTTTGGTATAATTTAATTTGTATAGTTTCGTTGCCTTTACTTTTAGGATCTTATAAAAATTGGCAACACCAATTTCCTCAAGTGCTTTTTTTTTATAGGATTTTTGTCTTACAAGTAGGTCATTTGACTTCTCAAGTTGATTTTTTTAAAAAGATTTATTTTTATTGGAAAGTCAGATATATAGAGAGGAGGAGAGACGGAGAGAAAGATTTTCCATCTGATGATTCACTTCCCAAGTGACTGCAATGGCCAGAGCTGTGTGAATCCAAAGCCAGGAGCCAGGAGCTCTTCCAGGTCAAGGCTTTGGGCCGTTCTCGACTGCTTTCCCAGGCCACAAGCAGGGAGCTGATGGGAAGTGGGGCTGCTGGGATTATAACCGGCATCCATGTGGGATTCCGAGTGTTCAAGGCAAGGATTCTAGCCACTAGGCCATGGTGCCAGGCCCTCAAGTTGATTTTTTTTAATATGACGGAAGGTGT